GTGGCGCTTGCATCAGCCAGAGCTTTGCTCGGCTCACCCGAGCCACCATCTGCAATTCAACTTGGCCCACCGTGCCGAGGGCCACGGGGCAGACCCAGAAGTGATGCGACACGACTTGACCTGCCAGACCTCGTTGTCTTGGAATCCTGGTTCCTGTAGTGAGCCTCCGTTACATCTCTTTGTGTTTTCATGAGTGACCGCTGCATTGCTCGATTGCGTTCGGTTCCGGATGGTTCCACTTGTTCTTAACTTTTTGTTCACCGTATTCTTGATGAATTTCGTAAAGCTTTTCAGGAGTTCGTTTTGGTTCGGCTAATGCCACCACAACAAAGTCTACTTTGACGAGCGGAGCCCCTTGTCCTATTATTATATGGACGCTTTTTTTACGAGGAATGGAAAGTGCATTGCTACATGGCCATACAGAGTGGCTGCTCGCGCAAAGTTAATTCCACAAAGTGCGTCCTGAGACGCTCGAGCGATCCGAAAAAGGTTCATACGAAGGTCCTCTGATGAAATGTCGAGCGAGCCAACCAAAATTTGTGAGTTGCCAGGTCAAACCGCGCGCGTCCGCTTTAGGTCGCCCAGCTGGACGAGCGTGTACGGCGCCCGGTCCGCCGGCACCCGATATGGATTGCTTCCTTCATGCTCGGCAAACCCATGGCAACGCTCTAATGGGGTCTTTCCATTGGCCAGCGGCTAAGAAGTTTTACAAGTTGACTATAGAAATATATGAATTTCACTTTCCATTGGGCCCACTTTACACCAGGGATCTAGCCGATACCGAAACGTGCGGAAACGGAAACCTGTGGAAATAGGTTTCTTCCCACTTTCCGCAGAGAGCCTAGAATGACGAAAGTGCGGAAAGAGAATCCGCATTTCCGCGTTTGCAGTACGGCGGAAAGTCAAAAACAGATTCTACGCCTGCGTTTGCCATTTACATAGGTGCGTTTACTTCAATACTGATATTACTTTAGGGTACATGTTGACATGGCCATACTGCAAGCGAAGCTGTCTCAAGCGAGCCTCCTCATTGATATGACCTCCAAGGTACTCAGCGGGAGTTCCGTGGAAGGACATTGACAAGGAAATGGCACTGGCCGGTTTGCGTAGCAGGCGAAAATAGACTGTTTTTCGTCTTCTACTACAAAACCGATCTGTGTTTGTGCGTATATAGACTTTCCTTTTACCTTGTCGTACAATAGTACAAGGGTTACATCGGTCGTACATTCGGTGTCTTCTTGACTGGATTTGATCAGGGATAAACGTTGCCCTAGGTTACCAAAGTTGTTTTACGTTCTGAATATGCGGGGCCTGCACAAGTGTGGCCCAACAGCGATATGGTTGACAGTCAGCAAGGGGTGAGAGCTCTCGGGTAGTAAATTTGTGTACTGAGAGTTCCGGACGGAATGTCCGAGTGTGACCGATATTAAAAGCCCTTATGCATTAAAAGGGTGGAAAAATGGGTAGTGAAGCTTTTGCAGTGTTGTGCCTCTTGAGTGCCTATCTGCACTCGAGGAAAGACTCAGGATCGCTATTAGCTTTTACATGCACATGTTGAAACTGGGCTTTCGGGTACATTAGGTTAAGTTGCTTGCCCCGCAAACGGTGCTGGTACTTTCAACGGTCCTCAACGGCTGGCCTCTACAGCTACATGTTGTCAATGGTTGCATTAGCGTCATGGGCCGCTTGGTGGGCGCTTTGGAAACGGAGGGAGGAGGTTGCACAATTGGGTGTGGTTGCTTCATAAGTAGTACACCCAAACGTTCGGCTATAGCTGGTCAGAACCTCCGCTGTGTATCCTGCAGGTCACGTGGTGGAGAAGTTTGGAAGACGCTACCGGACGCAAAGGTTTATGTTGCTTGTTTTGCCGTGTTTGTCTTTTCGGACAACAAGGCTCAGGCTTTTGTGAACGCATCCCAGGATTACCCGAATACATCCCAGGCAAACCAGGCGAAGAAGTCGGCCTTTCGGCCACCAAGGCACAAACCAGGTACAAGACGACGAACGTTTTTATAGTGTGAAGTTTATTACACGAGCACAACTCATCAGTTCGCTTTGCTCCTTGTAATCATTCCATCGGTAATCGCACCTCATTCAACTCACTGTGCGCGTACCATGTATCATCAGCCAAGTCCCGTCGCAACATAGGCTGCAGCACCCCCACCCCCACCCACAACACAGTTAGACATTTCTACAGGTAGGCAAGCCTACATACGCGTAGCGTGAGGATTTGACACTGCTTATGTGGTGACGCCAGGCCCATCTGAGCATCCCAGGTTACGACTTTGCTGTATTACAGC